TTGCTCCGAGGCATGTGGAATCTTCCCGGACCAGGAATCGAACCTGTGTCCCCTGCATTGGCAGGCAGGTTCTTTTCCACTGTGCTACCAGGCAAGTCCCAGGGTTTTTTTTTAAAGTGCAGAGAATCTTCAAGTCCAGCAGAAGTGACTCAGGTTAGCCACTGGGTCCTCCCATGTTAAGAGGCATCAGGGCCAACCTGTCAAAAGGATGGGGAGTAGACTTGCTGGCTTCCCAAGTCACATCCTGTGACTTCCAAACACTCCGAGCCAGGAACTAGGTCAGCACTCCTACAAGGGACATATGAGAACCACCAACCCCACATCCCCTTCTCTGCTTCATCCCTGCCTCCTTGGTGTTTAAACTTAATTAACAACAATCAGTGATCATAGGGTAATTCCACTGCTGGGCAGACATCTGAAGGAAAAAAACAACTATTTCAAAGAGATCTCTGCACCCCCATGTTTATTGTAGCATTATTCACACTAGCCAAGACATGGAAACAACCCAATTGTCTATCAACAAATGAATGGATTAAGAGCATGTGCTAGGTTTACACAGAATGGAATATTTTTAACAAAAAAAAAAAGAGGGAAACCCACCTTTGGCAGCAACATGGATGAACTTTGAGGGCATTAGGCTAGGTGAAAGAGGCAGACAAAGAAAGAGCAATACTGCATGATCTCACTTACATGTAGGATCTAAAAAAACTGAACTCAGAAACAAGAGTAAAATGTTGGCTGCCAGGGGCTGGGAGTTGGAGAAATGCAGAGATGTTGGTTAGAGGTCACAAACTTTCAGTTACGAGGTAAACAAGTTCTGGAGATCTAATGTACCACAGTCACTGCAATACTGTATTATATACTTGGAAGTTGCTAAATGTCCTTACCACCACCCAAAACAAATGACAGTTATGTGAGGTGACAGAGGTGGTGTTATTCAGTCACGTCCAGCTCTTTGTGACCCCGTGGACTACAGCACGCCAGGCTTCCCTGTCCTTCACTCTCTCCCAGAGTTTGCTCAAACTCATGTCCACTGAGCCAGTTGATGACATCCAACCATCTCATCCCCTGCCCCCTTCTCTTCCTGCCTGCAATCTTTCTCAGCAGCAGGATGTTTTCCAGTGAGTTGGTTCTTCACCAATTTTGTGGTAACTATTTCATAATAGATATATGAATCAAAACATCACGTGTACACCTTAAACTTATAAATGTTATATGTCAATTACAGCTCACTAAAGGGAGAAAGAAAGAAAAACAAATCAGTCATCTCTTAGTCTGGTACAACACTGAGGAAGAAATGACCTCACAAGTGAAGTAAAAGTCGCTCAGTCATGTCTGACTCTGCAACTGTGTAGTCCATGGAATTCTCCAGGCCAGAATACTGAAGTGGGTAGCCTTTCCCCTTTCCAGAGGACCTTCCCAACCCAGAGATCGAACCCAGGTCTCCCGAATTGCAGGCAGACTCTTTACCAGCTGAGCCACAAGAGAAGCCCAAGAATACTGGAGTGGGTAGCCTACCCCTTCTCCAGCACATCTTCCCTACTGAGGAATCGAACCAGGGTCTCCTGCATTGCAGGCAGATTCTTTACCAAGTGAGCTATCAGGGAAGCCCTCACAAAGAGCGGAGCTAAGGGGAGGCCAAAGGAGGCCAACACAGCTTCTCTGTGTTGGAAAGGACTCCAGCAGCCTCAATACCAGCAGCAAGCAGAGGTTCCGGGCCCAGGTAGTGGGGCTGGATCAGAGCCTCTGCTGGGAGGTGAGGAAACATCCAGGGCATGAAATGACTACCCACAGGATTCCACCTAGTGTGACTCCCACAGTCCTGCCTCGCCCTGCCTCGCATTACATCCATTTTCTGATGCCCACTGTGGACCCACAGCTCTAGGAGACAGGACTACAACTACGAGATAGACACAGCCCGACCATCAGGGAGTTTACCTTCCAGTGAGAATCCCAGAGGGAAGACATGTGGCGGGGCGGGGCGGGGCAGGGCGGGTGCTCGGCGATGAGTTCCAGACCCTTAGCGCTGTGGTTAGAGGTGCCACTCCGCCAACAGTCAGCCCGGCAGTGGTCCTCACGGCAGGGTAGGTGAGAGGCGGATCTCGGCCTTCTCCCCGGGGCTATACAGGCTCTCCGGCCTCAGAGCTGGTGGGTGAGCTGGGGGGCCCGGGGAAAGGCAAAGGGCTGTGTCTCGCAGAGCTCCAGAGCACTCGCCAAGGCCATCTGCTGGCCAGGCCCAGGCCTCAAAGCCGCTGCGCCCTCTCCTCCATTCCCCCTCTGGGTCTAATGGTGGTGCCGGTCTCCGTGGGTCAACATCCACAGAGGCCGCAGCAACTGGAAGGGGCGGGGCGGGGCAGGGCGGGTGCTCGGCGATGAGTTCCAGACCCTTAGCGCTGTGGTTAGAGGTGCCACTCCGCCAACAGTCAGCCTGGCAGTGGTCCTCACGGCAGGGTAGGTGAGAGGCGGATCTCGGCCTTCTCCCCGGGGCTATACAGGCTCTCCAGCCTCAGAGCTGGTGGGTGAGCCGGGGGGCCCGGGGAAAGGCAGAGGGCTGCGTCTCGCAGAGCTCCAGAGCCCTCGCCAAGGCCATCTGCTGGCCAGGCCCAGGCCTCAAAGCCGCTGCGCCCTCTCCTCCATTCCCCCTCTGGGTCTAATGGTGGTGCCGGTCTCCGTGGGTCAACATCCACAGAGGCCGCAGCAACTGGAGTGCATGGCACCGCCATTAAGGTCACAGCTTCAACCAGCTTCGGTGTCTCCATTCAGACTTCAAAAACGGATACAGCTGAGATCAGCTGTCTACCCCCTAGGAGGTGGCAGAGGTCAGGGTAAAGTTGCAAGGCCACTGCCCGTCATGACTTCAGGTCCACCCCTATGGGTGGGGCTGTTCTCAAAGAATGGCAACTGCTGTGAGCTGGGAACTAACATGATGGGCATTTGCTACAACATGTATTCCTACTGATCCCAACCAAATGATTCACTCCAGTTTAAATGAAAAGCCCGAGGGCTGGCTGGGTGCTGGGTGCCTGGCTCCCTCAGTGACGACAGCTGGGCAGGCTCTGGGGCCCTGCCTCTGAGTGCGCCACCAGCTAAGATCTGCCTCTTCAGCAGGGCCTGGGCACTGGTGGAAGGACAGAGACTGGGTGCTGGACCAGTGCTCTGGGGCAGAGTAACTGGCCAGCCCAGGGACTCCTCCTCTTAGCCTGGGCCTCAGAGGGCAAAAGTTGAGCCACGGGACTTTGCCCTTCTTTGTCAGAACAGAGAATAACATTTGTTTTGGTGGAGGCTTCCAGCAACATTGTGACCGGACCATGACCTGACCTTAAGAACAAAGGATCTGACGCCAAGAAGCCTGCAACAACTAACCACGCCACCCCCCTTTCCTATAAAAGAGCTTTACTGAAAGCTTTCCGGGAGTTGGGGGTCTTTTAAGGCAGAAGCCACCCGTCTCCTTGCGTGGCCCTGCAGTGAACCTCTTTCTGCTCCCAACTCTGACATTTTGGTCTTGTCTGGCCTCACTGTGCCAGGCACAGACTGGCATTCAGTAATAGACACAGGCAGGGCAGATTAACATAACCTGGGGACCAATCAGCCAGGGGTTAGGGGACACAGAGGAGTCCACCGCTTTCAGACCTGTGACAGAGCCAGGGGACAAGTCTCAGGATGAGGTGATCTAGGGAGGAGATGTGGGCAGGAATGTGCAGAGTTCAGTGTGGGTCACAGTGAAACCACTGGAATTTCTGTGGTTGTCCCCTTATCAGTGTGAACCATCAGACTTTATAGGAGAACAAAGTCAGTGCCAGAGAGGTGGCGGGCAGCGGCTACGCAGTAGGATGGCCAGGATGGCCATGCAGCTTTGCACCATGCCCCAAAGGGACATGGCTGAGGGGCCCAGTCAGGAGTCAGGCGGCCTGTGTTCTGGCCAGAGTGCCAATATTTACTAATCCTCTACCCTGGACAGGCTGTTTACTTCTCTTGAGTCCTTGGCATCTGCTAAATGCAGATGAAAATGTCCTCCTCGAATATTTCACAGAGTGGTTGTGAAGAATCTGGAAGAAATTTATATACTGTATAAGGCTCTATTGGAGAAGGCAATGGCAACCGACTCCAGTACTCTTGCCTGGAAAATGCCATGGATGGAGGAGCCTGGTAGGCTGCAGTCCATGGGGTTGCTAAGAGTTGGACATGACTGAGTGACTTCACTTTCACTTCTCACTTTCATGCATGGAGAAGGAAATGACAACCCATTCCAGTGTTCTTGCCTAGAGAATCCCAGGGATGGTGGAGCCTGGTGGGCTGCCATCTATGCGGTCACACAGAGTCGGACACAACTGAAGCGACTTAGCAGCAGCAGCAGCATAAGGCTCTATGGGCTTCCCAAGTGGCACCAGTGGTAAAGAACCTGCCTGCCAATGCAGGAGACATAGAGATGCAAGTTTGATCCCAGGGTGGGAAGATCCCCTAGAGGAGGGCATGGCAAGCCACTCCAGTATACTTGCTTAGAGAATCCCATGGACAGAGGAGCCTGGCAGGTCACAGTCCAAGGGGTCACAAAAAGTTGGACATGACTGAAGTGACTTGGCACACACACACACATATAACGCTCTATAAATAAGTAGGGTCAAGTCCAAGGACTTCTATGGGAAAGCTGAGGTTACATGACTTGCCCAGGGCCTCTCAATGGTTACCAAAGGCCATCCAGCTCTGGTGCCTCTGGCTTTCTATGACACCCCAGCCCTTCTGGGTACCTGCTGGTGGCACTTTCTGTGGAACACTGAGCCTCTCTTGAGGCCATCCCAGAAGACGAGACTCTCAGACTTCAATCCTGCCTCAGATATACACACAGGCCTGTTACCCAAGTGGCCCAGATCAAGGTCAGTCTCTGCAGGATATACTCCAGCCCAGGGGGGAGACAGAGCAAGAACCCAGAGCCACCAGGTCAACCCAGATTCTATGGAGCCCCATGCAAGCTGAGCTGTCATCTGGGAAAAAGAGATGTCCAATTCTGAGCAGGTGCTCCAGAGAGGTTTATTATATCCACACTGGGGAGCCCCAGGCTCCTGCTCAGAACAAGGGGCTGAGAACATCCAGTCAGGGAATCACAGCCACCCCCGACTGACAGGCCTGGTGCCTGTGGAAATGGTGACGCTTCTGCTTCAAACACAGCCAATTCCCTCCCTCTGCCCTTTAAGTCTCCTCGTAAAGAGGCAGGGCTGTCCTTTTCACGACAAAATGAGGTCCCTGGCGGTTTCTTGTCTGACATCTATCAGCCCCCAGAAAGCTTGACCCAGGCCCTCTGTCTGCTCCCCAACCTTGGCCAGCGTCAGCAACCGCATGTCCGTCACAGTCAGCCCACCCTCACCCCAGCGGCCCCGGCTTGCTCCGAGAACCTGCCGGCTAAAGTCTGGAGCGGACAAATTCTACCAGGTGCTCCAACTGCTCCTCCAGGCTCTGCTCATCCCCGTGGTTCTCAATGACCCAATCGAAGGTCCCAAAGTTGTCCAGGCCACACTCTGACTCAGCGTCGTCCACCCCTGCGGAGAGGTAGATGGAAAAGTCAGGCCCATCCCTCCCAACAAACACAGGGCATCAAGGCCTGCTGGCCCCACGAGGAGCCACCCTCTTGAACGGGCTGCTCCTCAGCCCCTCAGAGCTAAGCACCACTCACCCCAGAGGGCACTCCCGCACCCTTGAAACACTGGGACATCAGATTCAGGGGTGCACAGCCACCTGAGCCCCGCAGAGGGCCCCACTGAAGTCTTCACTTGTCACTGCCATCTCAAACCACAGACAATCCAAACGGTAATTTTGTTTTCATTTTATGTAAAGCTGATCATGTCAATTTCGATCCCGACAGCGCTGATTCAGGCCCCTTGGGAGGTGGCATGCGCCGTTCTCATCTGACAGTGAGGATGGTAGTAAGGGCATCCACCTGGTGGGTCCGCCGGGACTATAAGGTGAGATAATATGTTCAAAGCGCTTAGCCCAGGCCAGAGTGAGTGCCCAGGAGATGAGTGTGCTTAGACACTCAGTCATGACTCTGTGCAACCCTATGGACTGTAGCCTACCAGGCTTCTCTGTCCATGGGATTCTCCAGGCAAGAATACTAGAGTGGGTTGCCATTAGGAAGCTACTCACCTCGTTGAGGAAGAGTCAGACCCACTGATCCCCCAGGTCACAGTGACCCGGGGCAGGGAAGACACCTCAGCTGTGCCCTTGAACTGTCTCAGAGCAGGTCCTGGGCTGGCACCACCAGAGCCATCTAGGAGAGCTTCCGCCCCCCCTCCCGCACTGTGTTAATCAAACAGAAGTGAGGTTTGTCAGGCCTGCCCTCTGACCCAGTCAGAGCCCCCTCCAGGCTGGAACGCAAAGGTGAAGGACCAGGGGCAGCAGAGGGGTCCCAGCCAGACCTCCAGAAGCCCACTGGCCTAGAGAAGACATCCCAGGTAAGGGAACCAGGCCAAGGTCACAGGGAAACCTTTACCCCAAGGACACCATCCTCTACTCAACTCCACTTTTTAATCTCGAGGCACGCCTGAGCCCCAGACCTCCTGCTCACACCCCCCAGCCCGCCAGGGAGACAGCAGAAGACCAAGAACGTGGGAGGGGGCGGCCTGGTCTACAGTGGGCCAGCCGGCCTGCATGCTGAGCCCTGGGGCAGAGGTTGTGAGCGGCTCACCTGGTGTGAACACCCAGCCCCGCTGCTGCCGGCTCTCCTCTGTGGCCACCACACGGACCGTCTGTGTCACATCCCCATAGGCCTCCTGAAACCACTGGATGTCAGACACTCTCCGTGTATCACTCACCAGCTGCAGGGAAAGGACATAAACCAGTGACCAACAGGACATGGTGCAGGAAGCAGCAGGACCGGACAAGAGCTAAAGGGGAGAGAGGGAGACCTGGCCCCATTCCCGAGGCAGACTACAGAGCCCAGACGAGTGTAGCCCCATTCCCTATGATCACCCAACAGGCTGGAAGGGACATCCGCTCCTCCCTTCAGGCATCCCTCCCGGATTGATGCAGGCTGAGGCCTGCTCTGACCACGGTGTGTGCTACGGTCAGCTGAGTTGAAGAGGCCTCAGGCTCGGAAATCAGATCAGGGAGTCATTTTACAGGTGAACAAACCCAGGCCAGAAACAAAGATACCTTAATCAGTCCCTGCCCCCAACACCTTTTAAAATGGAAATGTGACCTTGTGTGTCCCCCGCCCTAAGTCCCTCCAAGACTTCCCATCATTTTGATAAAATCCAAAGCTCTCACCCCAGCTTACAAGGCCCTTTAAGATCTGACACCTATTTCCGGTCACCTTCCCTTCATTCATTCTGCTGCATCCAACTGACAACCTTGCCCTTTCTTAAACATCCCAACCAGGTCTCCTCCTCAGGGCCTTTGCACTTCCTTCTCCCTGGCTCCCTCACTTCAGAGAGGTTTCTGCTTAAATGTCACCTCCTTGGACAGGCTGACCCTACCATCCTGGCTCCCTTCCTGTCCCTCTCAATTCTGATATGCTGTTTATTCTCTGACCACTAAGTATTCATGAAACCATCACTATCTCTGTGTGTGTTGACTGTCTGATCCATGCTCTGTAGAGTAGCTCCATGAGGGGAAGGACTGTGTCTCACTCACTGCTCTGTCCCTGGCCCATAGCACCACCTGACCCACATGAGCATTCAGGAGCACATGGTCAATGAATGAATGAATCAGTGAATAAAGAGGCCAGATGTTCTTGTCCAAGCTGCGGGTATGTTCACGCAGCCAATTATTAAACAAATACTACGAAGGGAAGAATACTCACTCCAGCATTCTTGCCTGAAGAAACCCACAGACAGAGGAGCCTAGCAGGATACAGTCTTCGGGGTCGCAAAGAGTCAGACACAACTGATCAACTAACACACACGTGTCAAACACCTACCGTGTGCCTGGCACTGTGTTAGACTCTTGGAGTAGAGCTGTAAGCAGACCTGGTACTTGCCCTCAGGGAGCTCACAGTCTAGTGGGAGAAACACTCTAAGCCAGCAGCTTCACTAATTACCATGCAATCACAGCATGCATCAACTTGCATCTGGACCTTAACACTGTGAAACCAAACTCCTGGTTTTCTCCCCAAACTTGTTCTGCTACATCATCCCTGTGTCTCAGAAAACGACAACTCCAGCTGTCCAACTGCTCAGAACAAAATCCTTGGACTTGTCTCCTGTCCTTCCACCCTAGAGCCATCACACCAGGAAATCCTACTGGTTCTATGTTCAAAATCTGTGCAGAATACACCCGTCTCCACTCCCCTGCCACTCGAGTCAAGCCACGGCCACTTTGCTGTCCTGTGGAAAGATCCTCTGCCTGGCCTCTCTGCTTCCACTCTTGCCCTCCTCCCAACAGCCAGGAAGAGCCTCTTAAATCCTAGATCATCTTTAAAATAAATTTTTAAAAAACTTAAGATCACATTATGCCTCTCCTCTGCTCAAAACCCTCCAGTGAGTCCCCACCTCACTCAGAACAAACTCCAGGCTCTTCCAGAGAACCCGCATGATTTGACCTCACCTCCTGCCACTCAACCCTCACCTGCAAAAATCCATCTAGGTCACCCCTTACTTCCTAGGTCCTGCTCAAATGTCATCCTGTCAGTGAGGCCTTCCCCGATACCCTTAACAAAGCAGCAACCAGGGTCTCCTCATAGCTGTGGCCTGCTTTCTTTTGCCCTTAGTAGTTATCTCCACATACTCTATATTTATTTAGGGCCTAACTCCTTCTACCCCCAGCGACAATGTATGTATCCTGAGAGTAGGGACTTCAGATTTTCACATGATATATCCTCACATCACCTGGAACCAGTCCTGGTACAAGAAGGTACCACTGGCTGCCAGAAAGAATGAGGAAGGAAAAGGGTAAGCAGCTACAGGAGCACCTCAGAGGGAGCATCAGTTAGGACCTGGGCATCAGGGAAGGCTTCCCCATGGAAGTGCCATGGAAGCTGAGCTGGACTGAGCCAGGTGAAGAGGGAAAGGAAGCGCTCCAGGCAGGTAGAAGGACACGGGCGGAGGCCCTGATTCCAAAAGGAGGTTGATTTATTTGAGGAACAGAGAGAAAGCCAATGTTACTGCAGCTGAAGGAACAAGGAGGCTAGAAGGGCAGCAGGAGCCGATCATTCAAGGCCCAGAAGTTCATGTTAAGGATTTCAATTCGTTCATCAGAACGGTGGGACAAAGGGTTCCAAACATGACTTGGTTTGTGTTTTTAAAAGGTCACTCTGGCTGCTGTGTGATGAATGGATCACAAGGGACAAGAGCCGAAGCAGGGACCAGTGTGGGGGCTACTCCAACTGCCTGGGTGAGAGACAGCAGGGCCTTGGGCCAGGGAGGTGGCCGTGGAGAGAGAGAAAGGGACGTATCTGGGGAGGGGCGGAGGGCTGGGGAAACAGATTTTCTCAATGCCACCATAGAGCCCACTCACCCAGACAGGCTGGCAGACCCCCTCCACAATCTTCCTGCAGAAGAAGCCTGGGTCAGCCCGACGCTTCTCCTCACCCCAGCGGATCATGTCCCTCCGATAGGCCTCCTTGTAGGTGCTGGCATCCAGGAGTCTCTGGAAGTCCAAGCCGTGCTCCTGCCCAAAGCACATTCTGTTTATGCCACCAGCCTCTCAACCTCGCTGGTCTCCCCTAAAACAGAAGGAGGGTGCCCCACCACCCCCACCTTGACCCGCCCTCCCTGAAGGTTGCTGCATGGACTCATGAGGCTGGCACCAGGACAGAGGCCTGCAAGGGAAAGGGGCCTGGAAACTGAGAAATCCCAAACACTGGCAGACAGATGGAAGAAAAGCCTTGAGGTAATCCAGAAATTGTTTTGGTTTGCCTTTAAATGTATGATGTGGTTTTCTCTTCTGCAACAGTTCTACCTTCCCAATTATTTCTGGCTTAAGCTAGTCCTGAAATTAGTTTGCCTCGCTTGGGCACACAGGCTTAGCCTTCACCCAGAAGTGGGAAGTCTGAAGACATCGCACTCCGTATCCTTCCACTACCCCTTCTGCATTGTCTGTCCCCATCCCAAAGCCCAGGAGACCTGGCTTCCCTGTCTCTCTCCCCTCCCCCACCCGCTTCCTCACTCCCAATTCCAGGCACCTTTGCTGAGTCAGCCTCACTATGTTTGGCTCCGGGCGCTCCTGGAACCCTGAGGCAGGAGGGGCAGTTCTGATGCCCTGGGAAGCTGCTTCCAGGCGGGCCTCCCTTTCTCCAGGGACACTGACAAGCAACAGGGTGCATCAGAGGGCCCCGGAATGGGAGGGTTCAGGGGTCAGCTCCCCTGGTGTTCACCGCAGCAAGACCCTCTCCCCAAAGACTCAGTTTCTTCACGGGCAAACTGAGGGGGCTGCGGCCCAGCCAGTCAAATCACCTACGACCTCCTTGTTCCAAGGTGAGGCCAACAGCCATCTCCCATTTATAAACTAGTTTCCCACATACTCTTTACCATGGGAGGTTAGCTCCCAGGGGCATTATGGTCGCCTCTCAATTATATTCCCCACTACAACTGAAGAAATCAATGCGTTAACATTTCATTTTGAATCTGTTTTGTAATGGGTGTAACGGATGAAGTGGTGCTGGATTTAAAAACAGCAGGGGCAGGTTGGCCTATCAGAGTCTCCTACTGGGGTTTTAGAAATGCCAAATCCTGCCCACCGACCCTACCCCATCCTCCAGCCTGGCTCATCAGTCTGGACTGGGGCCTAATTTGGGAAGTCTGGAAGCAGACCAATGGTATTTAAACTGTTCCTCTGAGCCCTGGGGTTTGGAAGTGTCAAGCCCCACTGGGGAAGGCTGAGTGCCTCCCCCTCACTCAAAATCACTCCCAGTCTGTCTATTGGATACAAAGAATCTCTGCATCCAATTTCATTTGTGAAAGGTTCCCACTAGGAAAAGATGTTGAAAATCACTGACTCCGTTATCCGAGGGCCCCCCAGGCTGCCATCCTACAAATGGGTCGGTTGTGCTGGTGGGAGAAGACCGATGGCTCAGGGAACAGATTCATTTTATGTGGACTCAGCGGTCCAGACACAGGCCAGCAGACCAAGGAACCATAAGCACAAGAATGACGCACCTAGAGGTCAAGGACAGAAATGCAAGCGAAAAGCAGGCTCTTCAGGGTGTGGGGAGCTGATCCCAACTTCCAGGTTCCCTTTTTAAAGTCTAAGGTTCTGAAATTTCTGTTTATTTTTTACGGTCCTTTTTTTTTTTAATCTACATGGTTCAAAACTCAAAAAATAAACACTGTTTACAGTGAAACCTCTCCGTTCTCTGTTCCCCAGCCACACAGCTCCCCTCCTGGAGGCAGCCAGTGGTCCAGTCTCTTATGTATCCTGCCCAGGCTTTTACACAACCCAAGCATCCAGAATGGTGCTGAATGCGCTCCATATGTATCTGCTGAATGGCTGAATATATGAGCAAATATGTTGACAATTTTCCCCATTTTTATATAAATGCAGCATTCTCTACAGTGTTCCCAGGTGGCACTAGTGGTAAAGAACCTGTCTGCCAATGCAGGAGATGTAAGAGATGTAGATTCCATTCCTGGGTCTAGAAGATCCCCTGAAGGAGGGCATGGCAATCCACTCCAGCATCCTGGCCTGGAAAATCCCATAGACATGGGAGCCTGGCGGGCTACAGTCCATAGAGTCACAAAGAGTTGGACACAACTGAAGCGACTTAGCAACAGCAATATTCTCTATACACTGTTCTACATCCTACTTTTTTCACTTAGCAATATAACTTGACAACTCATGTGATTAAATTTCTAAGGGGAGAATTCCATGGGTTGTGGCAGGCCAACTTTAGAGGGGGCAGGGGGAGTTGATCTGTGTCATATTTTTTGAATAAGGGGACAGATTATTACCAATAACACAGCATCAGAGCTGCCAACTCACATCTACAGCCTTTTCTGGACACACTTTCCTGAACATCCTCTAGGGAGGTGGCCTGAAGTGAGTAAGGCCAACGGGAAAGAAACTTAAATGGAAAATGCCACCCTATAGGTCCAGCTATAGAAAGTGGAGAGCTGTGTGCCATCCTGCCAGCAGGGGGTCACAGGGACCCTGCTAGTGACTCAAGTCTTAACAGCACAGCAACCAAAGCTTGGGAGCTGGCTCCTTCCAACCCACCAGGTGCCACAGAGCTGCCACCTACCTGAGCGTACTGCTCCTTGAGTGGACCGGAGAGCCGAAGGACAGCACACACGTCAGCCCCTAGCCTGTGAGACAGGGAGAGCCGCACCCCATTAACCTAGGGCTTCCAGGCCCCAGAAGAGTGAAGCCCCATGTCAGCTGTGAGCACCTATATAACCTTGTAGCTCTCAACTTCCCTGATCTCCTCATCTGTAAAATGGGCTAACAGTGTCTGTTCTGTCTCCACGGGATTAACATGAAACTCAAATGTGAAAAAGCCCTGAAACTAACAAGTAAGACAAAAGTATAATTACAGTGTGAAGATCCCAGGAATATTCTGGCTGGTTTGGTTACTGCTGGCCTCCTGGACTTGTTCTCTCACAGCCAGGGGTATCTCAGTCTTAAAGGACTTGGATCGCACACATAAACAACTCATTCATTCACTTGCTCAATTTACTCAACCAACCATCTGCTCGGTACTATATTTGGATCCAGGTGATACAAATGTGAATAAGATATGCGATTTATGGGACTTCACTACTGGTCCAGTGGTTAAGACTTCATGCTTCCTCTGCAGGGGGCACGGGTTCAATTCCTGCTCAGGGAACTAAGATCCTGCCTGCCACATGGCCAAAAAAAAAAGATACATGACTTCTGCCCTGACCGTGAGGTGCTCACAGATTCACTTAAACACTGACATGGTGAGGTGGGTGTTCTTTTTTTTTTTCTTTTTTCTTTTTTTTGAGGTGGGTGTTCTTATTTTCATGTTTCAGGTGAGGAAACTGAGGTTGAGGGAGGAAAACTGACTCACCCAAAGGACTACTGCAAGTCAAGTACTAGTAACAAAGCCAACATTGTAAAATGCATCCTAGGTGGCGCAGTGGTAAAGAATCCGCCTGTCAACGCAGGAGACGCGGGTTCGATCCCTGGTTCAGGTAGATCCCCTGGAGTAGAAAATGGCAACCCACTCCAGTATTCTTGCCTGGAAAATTCCATGGACAGAGGAGCCTGGCAGACTACAGTTCAGAGTGCTGGAGAGTCGGACACACCTGAGCACGCACACACACACATTGATAAAATAAAAATAAAAGCCAACATTTAGTCCCAGGGCTGTGCAGGCGTGTTCAGCTGCTAAGTCTTGTCTGACTCTTTGCGACCCCAAGTACTGTAGCCCAACAGGCTCCTCTGTCTTTGGGATTTTTCAGGCAAGAATACTGGAGTGGGTTGCCATTTTCTACTCCAGGGATCTTCCAGACCCAGGGATCAAAGCCCAGTGTGTCCTGTGTCTCCTGAATTGGCAGGCAGATTCTTTATCACTTAGCCACCTGGGAAGCCATGCCTGTAACTAGGTGCTAAGAGTTGTTCTAGGCCCTTCGTGTACATCATCTCATTTAATCCTTACATTCACCCTATTATCTCCAACTCACGGATGACAAAACTGAGGAACAGAATGCATAAGAAATTTGGACAAGATCATACTCGAATAAAGTGGTGAGTCAGGATTTGAATCCCAGCAGTCAAATTCCCAAGTCTGTGCTTCTGACCACAAATTAATTGATGTGCTGGGTGAAGAAATGTAACTTGGGAAAAGGTGGCAGATACTTAGTGGTGAAAGATTCAGGTGGCAAACTCTGCCTTGGATTTTCTACAACCTCTTAGACTCCCCATGGTGACCAAAAGCAGCCTCCTACCACACTCAACACACTGGCTTTCAACAGGAGAGAAGGCCCACTCCACCTTCTCTGGCTTCTGTGCCCTCCTAGCCCAGAAAAAATGCTCCCACACAGAACATCTTCCTTTGGGAGAAAATCTGCTGAAATTCCCTGGTGGCCCAGGGGTTAAGACTTCATGCTTTCACTGCTAAGGGCCGGGATTCGATCCCTGACTGGGGAACTAAGTCTCACAAGCATGCAGGCAGAGGCACAAAAAAAAAACACTTGAACAAAAAAGTATTAAAGAAGCAATGGGGAAAAGCAAAAAGAACCCATTCCTTAGAGCTAGACAAAAGCTGAATTTGAGTCCTGGATCTACCAATTACTTTGTGTTCCTGGCAGGTTTGGGTGTTGTTTGTCTTTTGAACTTTTCAGCGTCTCCTTTTCTGCACGTGCAAAATGAAGATACTGACTAAAATTACCACACAGTACCTAACAACGGTATCTGGCATACAATAAAGGCTCAATAAATCCCATCAACGAGGTGGAGTGCTAGGTAAGGATTTGTCTGTGGAGTCAGATACAATTGGGGTGTGGTCTGAGGCAAATCCTTTATTTGTGACTCAGTTTCTTCTTCTGTACATTACCTCGCAGTACTGTCAGGAGGATTAGGAATGGTGTATAAAAAGCGCTTTGGTAGCAACTGTTACTAATACTCCTCGAAAGATCTAGAGCTTACCACCTCTCTTTGGAGAGGAGGCCGCCTGGTTCTTTGAGGTGGGCGTGTGTATACTGCTGTTTTTCCTGACTGTGACAATCCTCCACTTCTGGCCACCCAGTGCTCCTTCTGTTCTGCAACCTGAGGACCCCAACTCCAAAGCTCACTCCATCACACCCCAACACACCGCTCGTGTCACGTGATTCGGGGTCTCCCGGTCCTCCTCCTTCCCCACCCCACGGACACCTGCTCTGAAGCGCCTCGGTCACGAAGTCCTTCCCGGATTTCCTCTTCCCGCTGAACAGCAGCACCAGCCCCGGTACGCCTCCGAGCGGGGCCATGGGGGTCACCACGTTCTGCGATCCCTAAAGCTAACTTTTCCCTACCCCTTAAATCCGACCATCGGCACAGAATGGACGCGGCCACTCGGTGGAGCGGCAACAAGGAGGGGTTCCGCCCCCCCCGTCTTCTTCATGGCCGTGGAGAGGACAGACAGCCCGTACATGTGCTTCCGTGGCTTTAAATTAAAGCCTGCGCAAGTGGAATATGGAGAGAAAGAATGTTAATTCCTAGGGCAGCCTTCTCCCTTAAAGAAGCTCCCCTACCAGAACTCATTTGGAACAGCCCAACCCGCCCACCACCTGACGTCACGGCCCCGCCTTCTTAGCTGACACGCGTGACACGTGGGGAGGTGGGAGTTGGACGCAACTATTCTCTTCCGAGGGTGGTGACGTCTTAAAATTTCCTAAGTGAACCTCACATTGCCTTCCACACAATCCTACCAACACACCCAAAAAAGAACAAACTTTTTCATATTGCGAAAGCTTTCAGAACTACCTGTTTATCTGTGCATTTTAATGCGTGTGCTAAAGCAAATCCGTATATGACCCCCAGAGTGAAAAATAGGTGTTTCTGGATGTGAAATAAGGCGAGGACGCGAGGGGCGTGTTTTGTGACGTCTGCTGGGGGGAGGGACTTAGTCAAACATGCTTTATTTTATTGTTAAATGGGTTTTATAGTCAGCGAGGCTACTGCAGTTTGATCCTTTAATCCAGGAAAGAAAACTCACGTCGGTTTTCTAGCCGCGGCTTCCTCTCCAAAAGTTTTCTGAAGCCAGAGAGCTTGGAATAAAGTAAGTTTAAAAGGCTCTTTGAAGCCACTCCTGGACTAGATTATCTAGTTTCATCTGGAGTCCAGCTCTCAACCAGGAGTTCAAGGGGCAAAATAAGGGGCAGTGATCTGTCTCTACCCTGAATTCTCAGCTCTGACTCTGCCCACAGCAGCTGCCAGCCAGCCCCAGTTAAGGAAGTGGAGTTGTCTTTAGCTATGGCTCGCTGCCCTGTATCTCTCTGAATTTGTCACAACAGCCTGCAACCCATTACTGCTTCTGTTTTACATGCTATCATGTAAAGAGAAGTGAGGTGTGAAGATCTCCTTTGGGAGAAACCGTTAATTCTCTGAACATGGAAAAGATGGCACAGAAGCAGCTAAGGAAAATAAAATGATCAGTGGTAAGATACAAAAAGAATGAACTTTGGGGAGGTCTTTTTTTTTTTTTTTCTTGTAAGAAATTCTGAAAGCACTGCACATTTGCATGCACTTCGAAGGAAGCCTACAGTGGAATTATAATCCCAGCTTTGGCATCCTGGCACTTGGTCGGAATGTGACCTTCAGCAAGTCACTGTGAGTTCCCATCTCACAGGGATGTGTTAAGGAGGAAATGAGGAAAATATATGATAAAATACAATAAAAATGCTTCATTTATTAGTAAGTGCCAGATGCGAAGAGCCGACTCATTGGAAAACACCTTGATGCTGGGAAAGACTGAAGTCAGGAGGAGATGAGGACAAGAGAGGATGAGATGGTTGGATGGCATCACCAACTCAATGACGTAAGTTTGAGCAAGCTCCAGGAGATGGTGAAGGACAGGGAAGCCTGCTCTGCTACAGTCCATGGGGTCGCAAAGAGTTGGACACAACTGAGCAACTGATCAACCTAAATATGGAATCGTTGGACTTCCCTGGTGGCGCAGTGCGTAAGAATCTGCCTGCCAATTCTGGGGACATAGGTTCAATCCTTGGTCCAGGAAGATTCCACATGCCACACAGCAACTACACTCTTGTGCCCACAAGCCACGACTACTGAGCTCGTGTGCCACAACCAGTAAAAGCCCTAGAGCCTGCACTCCGCAACTACTGAGGCAGAGTGCTACAACCACAGAAGCCCTCACACCTAGAGCCTGTGCTCTGCAACAAGAGAACCCACCACAATGAGAAGCCTGTGCGTGGCAAGAGTAGCCCACCCTGCTTGCTGCAACTAGTGAAGGCCCTGGCACAGCAATGACCCAGAGCAGCCAAAAATAAATAAGTAAACAAGAAAGATTTCAAATATGGAGTTGTTATTTATTCTGAGCCATGTGTGATTTCAGAGTTCATTTTTCTTTGTGGTATTTATTTACTGATTTGACTGCACTGGGCCTTTGTTGTGGCATGTGGGATGTAGTTCCCTGACCAGGGATGGAACCTGGGCCCCCTGCATTGGGAGCTGAATCTTAGTCTCCGGACCACCAGGGAAGTCTCAGTTTCAGAGTTTACAATCCATTGCAGGATCAGATTTCCCAGGTCACCTTCAACAAGTTTCTCTGGGAGTTCACCAAAAGCACCAGGCCCACCTCTGCCAGCAGAGACTAAAAACTGCACTCATGCTCCTGCCCTCCTGAGTCACCCCTGAGAAATCAGACCTCCCAGAGTCCCCTCCCTCACCTGACCCAACCACACCCCTGCTCCTTCCCCCCAACCCTTCCCAGAATGAAGCTCCCTGGAAGGCCCAGTGATTAGAATATATCCCCCAAACCCCAGTCTCTTCTCAGTAGCTCCCTCCTGCTCCTTGCCTTGCTGGAACCTCACTGTCCCCTACTACCTTCCCAGGGGCAGCCTCAGAGCTAAGCATCCATAAACTTGTGTCTATAGCCTTCCTCCCACTCCATTTCAGCTTCTGGGCCGTTCCTCCCCTGCTTCTTAGAAAACTGTGGCTCCTCTAAGACTCATACCACCTGCCTGAGCTGCCCTCTTCCCCTCCTCATTGTTGACAACCACCAATGCTGGCGATCATTCTCACATCCTGAGTCTCAGCCATTGGCTCCCTGTCTTCTTTTCCACTGGATTCCCATCATCCTTCTTGGTGACTTCACTGTCTATTGGCCAGCCCATCCAACACCGCAACAGCTCAAAGCCTTGGCCTCGGACATCCAAAGTCTTTTTCATCCTCTCTTCCTCAGGATACCAGCTCTCATGGGCACACCCTGGGCCTTGTCATCACCAGAAACCATTCAACCTGCAAATTCCCACACCCATGCACCCTGCCCTCCAAGGTCACTTGCCCATGTGCTCCCCAAAGGAGTGCTTCCCTCCCAGAGCCCATGAAACTCTTCATGTTATGTAACATCTGCTCCTCCTTCCTTCAACAACCAAAGGGAACATGGAATACGTGAATACGTGTAGAAAGCTTTCCTAATCTGTCCAGGACTGCACAAATATGCAGGACTGCACTATTTTTAGGGTAGAACAGGCTGGGCTAAAGGCCAGGCTGCTGCCAAGAGTGAGGCAGAAAAGACCGAAGGAGTAGGAGTGTCTGACAGCAGCAGACACCAGAACGGAGTGGCCAGAGTTCCTGGGGACTGGGACTGGAAGCCAGACTCTAGGTGACACTGCCTCCTGATGACAGTTCCGAAGGTGATGCCTGAGGAAGCCAGTGCCAGCCTCAGAAAACAGAAGAGTTCTCCCAGAACTCAGGAACACAGGAACATCTGAGAGTCACCTCTCACTAAAGGAGTGGACAATTTAAAGAGAGGTTTGGGACTTCCCTCTATCCATGGAATTCTCCAGGCTACAAGACTGGAGTGGGTTACCATTCCCTTCTCCAGGGGATCTTCCCAACCCAGAGGAGCCTGGCGGGTTATTAGTCCATGGGGTTGCAAAGAGTAGAACATGACTGAATGACTAACACTTTCCCTTTAACTTTGGGATTCCCCTGGTGGTTCAGTGGTTAATACTCCACACTCCCAATGCATGAAGCCCAGGGTTCCATCCCCGGTCAGGGGACTAGATCCCACATGCCACAACTAAGAGTTCACAGGCTGTAACTATGATCCTCCTGAGAGTCTCTTGGTCTGCAAAGAGAGCAAACCAGTCAATCCTAAAGGAAACCAGTCCTGAATATTCATTAGAAGGACTGATGCTGAAGCTGAAGCTCCCGTACTTTGGCCACCTAACTCGAAGAGCCAACTCATTAGAAAAGACCTGGATGCTGGGAAAGATCGAGGACAGGAGGAGAAGGGGATGACAGAGGATGAGATGGTTGGATGGCATCATTGACTCAATGGACGTGAGTTTGAGCAAGCTCCAGGAGATGGTGAAGGACAGGGAAGCCTGGCGTCGTGCTGCAGTCCTTGGGGTTGCAAAGAGTAGGACACGACTGAGCGACTCCACAACAGCAGCTAAAACCCAGTGCAGCCCAATAAAAAAATTTTTTTAATAATAATAAACAAAGAGAAGTTTGCCTCACTGACCCAAAGCTTGGGAGGAAGGCCTGTTTGAAGGTCACCTGCTCATTGTTTTAACATACTCAGAAACAGGATAAATCTGCAGGGGCGTGGCTCTTACAGTTCCGCAGAGCCTAGAAGAGGGAAGAGCTGGGCTTGTCAGTACCCCTCCAACCTTGCCCAGGCAGAGGGAGCCCTGAGCAGGGGGTACCAAGGTCTGCCCCTCCAGGGCAAGCCTGTCCCACAGTGGAACCAGATGTCGTCCTGGCTCAGCAACACCACGAGTTACCCTTGCTTCAGCTCTGTGCTCTGGTTCCAGTTTATTCTCCCATGGTCATTGTCCAACTGACCCAAGCATCCCCTTCTGCTGGTGTGGTCAGTGTAGATGTGACTTGTGAATCAGTCCTCATGTGTTTGATGACCACCATTTCAGGGGCAACGGAGCCTAGCAGATGCAGGACAGAATGGGATGGGCTTGTTTGTTTTGTTTGGATTTTTTTTTTCAATCCTTATTCATTTATTTCTTTTGCTCCACCAGGTCTTAGTTACAGCATGTGGGATCTAGTTCCCTGAACAGAGAGTGAACTTGCACCCCTTGTGTTGGGAGCATGGAGTCTTAGCTGCTGGACCACTAGGGAAGTCCCCTGGGGTTGTAAGAAAATAGTAGAGAGGGAAAGATAGGGGAAGTCTGAGTCTATAAGAAGCTGTTGGGAGAGACGTCTATGCATTCATTCAACGTGTATTAAAGTTCTAAAATGAAAAAAATAAATAAAGTTCTAAAACGTGCCAGGAACTGCTAGAGACACAACAGTAAACCAAACAGAGCCTTTTCTCAAACAGCATTGATTCTCATGGGAGACACGCAATTTCAAGACAGTTTAAAAATGGAGCATGAGAGGCTTCATTCCAGAATTGGAGAGGGGAAATTTATATAAATTAGCACTTGCAGGATGCTCTGATATAACCTGGAAATGTCTCTTTGCATCCTCATATTAATAAATGTTATTCCCTCTGCCTGAAACACTCTTCCTGCTTTTTTTGTCATGAAACAGAGTCCGACTTGTACTTCAACATTTAGCTTGTCTTGCCTCTTCCAGTGAGCTGTCCCTGACCCCCTATCCCATCTGACTTACACGCATCTGTTTTCTATGCTCCTGATATACCCTCTGCTCTGTGGCTCAGACGGTAAAGAATCCACCTGTAATTCGGGAGACCTGGGTTTGCTCCCTGGGTTGGGAAGATCCTGTAGAGAAGGGCATGGCAACCACTCCAGTATTCTTGCCTGGAGAATCCCTATGGACAGAGGAGCCTGGCAGGCCACAGTCCATGGGGTCGCAAAGAGTCGGACACGACTGAGTGACTAAACACAGCACCGCT